TCAAAGCCCTTCTACATGCCCCCTCAGTGAACCTCCCCTCTCCACCTCCTCATCACCGTGGAGTTGCACAGCACTCTCCCGCCGATGGAGTGCTCACTGGTGGGATGGCCGCGACCCTCTGCCCGCTGGGCGCCACGCTTTCTTTGTTCCCTCCATGACTTGCAGGACGGCTGTTACGCCGACCGCTACAGCTGAAACCTCGAGCTCATGGCATGTGCCCGTCCATTCGGTGGGCGGCGTGTGGACTTCTGATATTCCCGCCGTGTGGCTGAACTCATCGCCACATGCAACGCACCACGGACGTCAACGAGTGCCCCGCCTTTGGCTTGTAGCGGCCCTGTTGCGTCTGTGCTCAAGGTGGACATTAGGTGGGACGCCCACGAGATACACGGTAGCCACGCCGTCATCAATCCGCGGGAAGCGAATCCCGTTTTGAGATGGAGCTCGCGCTAGTTGAGCCGCCGCTGCATTGCCCGATGTTGTTGGTGGAACCAGTGCCCGCGTCCTGAGGACGCTGCCCGTGTCGGCGAGTGCGCACACGCACAGGAATGTCAATCTGAACAAGACTGAGACTCTGCTCTACTTGAAGTAGGTCCTCCACCTTCGGCCGCCAAGATAAGCCCGCAAGAATAGCTGCGGAATGCGGACCTGAGAGAGGTGCACATTCCGATTGAGGCAAACACGACGCTGGTGGTGGCCTACCTCGACTCCCTCAGGCTGGCCTTCACTAACTGCCAGCCCAATGAACACGACGCCGCCAGCAGCTATGGTCTGCACGCGCGCCGTGCAGATCTGACGAAGGCGATGTCTAACTTTCAGGAGACCGTGTCGGTCTAGACTCAGCACGTTGTTGCCGTTGCCTCCACCGTGGGGCCCACCAGAGCTATTCCCGAGCAGTATTGTCTGCGCCTACAGCAGCAACCCGACCACACATTGTCCACGAAGAGGCCCCTGAGGAAGACGAATACCCGTCAGGGGCACCGCGTGCCGTCAAAAATCGCTCGGCCTTTGCAACCGCGGTCAGAACGAAAAAGTTGATAGCAGAGCGCAAGGAGTACATACCCGAGAGTGCAGAGCAGAGATGAGCAGTGAGAGTAGAGAGTTACAATGAAACAATGTAGTGCGAAGTTAATATGGAGGCAACCGCAAATAGCGTAGAGGGACAGAGAGAGAGAGGAACAGAGAAAGGAAGAGAGAGAGAGAGAGAGAAAGGAAGGAAGGAAACGAGCACGCGTAGATCAGAACAGGGAGCACACAGTCAAGCTAATGAACAAGGCGTGATTGGTGCCGCTAGCACAACGCTTGAGGCCGATGATGAACATCTCTTGGGCCGTCTTGGGGGTATCTTGGGCCGAGGGGTGATCTCGGAGGCCTCTTGGCAACATCTTTGGAGGCCTTTGGGGGCGTCCTGGGCTGTCAGAGGCCGGAGAGAACGAGAGTTCACCGGATATTCAAACATTTAGAACATCATTGGTTTTTTGTTGCTGCGTTCTTATGGTTCAATGGTCTTGGTTCCTTGTTGCGTTCCCCGGGTTTCTCGGTCTTTCTTGGTCTCGGTTTTTGCAATCCCCGCGCAATGCCAAGCAGCGTCAAACAATGCAAAGGCAATACGATTCCTCGGCAATGCCAAGCACTGAGAAGCAATGGGCTCTTGGGACATATTCTCCGCCTGCGCACCGCAATGCATGGGAGTACATTGCTCACGCCTCCTCAGCCTGCGTCGCTGGCTCCTCGTCTTAAAATTCCCAATCATCCTGTGGTGTTGGGTCCTCGTTTTGAAGAGACGTCGCCCCGCGTTCTCCTCCTCCTCCTCCCCCTCTCCTCTCCTCCTCCCCCTTCTCCCTCCTCCATCACCATCATCATCATCATCATCATCATCATCATCATCATCATCATCATCATCATCATCATCATCACCCGTTTCAGCATACCCTTCACACGCTTCGTGGCCCCATAGGGAGCCCCACCGAAGGTCCCAGTGCTACCGTCCGCATGCGTCCCCCCCACACAGTACAGCGCTTCGTGGCCCCATAGGGAGCCCCACCGAAGGTCCCAGTGCTACCGTCCGCATACGTCCCCCGCACCCAGTACAGCGCTTCGTGGCCCCATAGGGAGCCCCACCGAAGGTCCCAGTGCTACCGTCCGCATGCGTCCCCCCCACCCAGTACAGCGCTTCGTGGCCCCATAGGGAGCTCCACCGAAGGTCCCAGTGCTACCGTCCGCATGCGTCCCCCCCCACCCAGTACAGCGTTCCGTGGCCCCCATAGGGAGCTCCACCGAAGGTCCCGGTGCTACGAACAATAGTATCCGAAGGTCCCAGTGCTACCGTCCGCATGCGTCCCCCCACCCAGTACAGCGCTTCGTGGCCCCATAGGGAGCCCCACCGAAGGTCCCAGTGCTACCGTCCGCATGCGTCCCCCCCACCCAGTACAGCGCTTCGTGGCCCCCTAGGGAGCCCCACCGAAGGTCCCAGTGCTACTGTCCGCATGCGTCCCCCCCACCCAGTACAGCGCTTCGTGGTACTGTCCGCATGCGAAGCCCCACCGAAGCCCCTGGGACTGTCCGCATGCGTCCCTGAAACACACTTTTGGTATTTTCACACCACCCACTACGGCGTTTCGTGACCCCGTAGAGAGCTCCACCGAAGCCCCCAGTGGGACCGTCCGCATGCGTCTCGGAAATCCAAATTGGGTATTTTCACACCCACCCAGTACAACGCTTCGTGGCCTCATAGGGAGCTCCGCCGAAGCCCCCAGTGGGACCGTCCGCATGCGTCCCGGAAACCAAGTGTGGCACACCCCTCATACGTTTCGTGGCCCCATAGGGAGCTCCACCGAAGCCCACACTGGGACCGCCCGCGTGCGTCCCACACACCAGGTTTTGCATTTTCTCCCCACCCAGTACGGCGTTTCGTGGCCCCATAGGGAGTTCGCCCGACGGCCCCAGTTCTACCACCCGCATGCGTTCCCCCCCACCCAGTGCAGCGCTTCGTGGCCCCATAGGAAGCTCCACCGAAGCCCCCAGTGGGACCGTCCGCATGCGTCTTGGAAACCAAATGTGGCACACCCCTCATACGTTTCGTGCCCCCATAGGGAGCTCCACCGAAGCCACCAGTGGGACCGCCAGCATGCGTCCCACACACCAAATTTGGCATTTTCACCCCACCCAGTACCGCGATTCGTGGCCCCATAGGGAGTTCGCCCGACGGCCCCAGTTCTACCGCCCGCATGCGTTCCCCCCCACCCAGTGCAGCGCTTCGTGGCCCCATAGGGAGCTCCACCGAAGAAAAGATTCACAATTGCGGTACCCACAACTGCATATGGTTATGGTTGGGTCCGTCGCCAGGATAATGTGTTCCATCCTCTTTCTTCCATCGCCACGCCCGAATCTCATTGTCGGGCCCACGCCAACAAGGCTAATAAGGCACATTTCCCTCGGCAACGCCGAGCAACGCCAAGGAATACGCGGCATTGTCAAGCACTGCCAGAGCTTCCAGAAGCCTCTAATGCTGTCGAGGGCATCCAGAGCTACGAAGATCTCGAGGACGACGAGAATGATAATGGTGATGACGATGAGGACACTGCTTGTGATGGTGGACAGGAGAAGAGACATGAGGAGCGCCATCACATGTGACACCTCTCAACATCACTTCCTCATTGGGCCTTCCTAGGGTTGTCCTGGGCTCCTGTGCAACAGTCTTGGGGGTCCCCTGCGGTGTCCTTGGGCCGTCTTCGGGCTCTATTGGGCCGTTGTGGGGCCTTCGCTGTCTGGACGGTCTCTTCCAGCCGTCATGGAGCCGCCCTGAGGCCGTATTGGGCAGTCGACGGGCTTTCTCAGATCGTCCATCTTGGAGGCCGCTTGGGCCAGTTTGCACCGACGAATATCCGAAAGGGCGAGAATGCCACAACCATTCTAAAATTGAAAGGGGATGAGTACGTTGGGCCTCGTCGGTGGTCTACTGAATTTCCAGGCCATGTATTGATTGGGTTTTTTGTTTGGTTAATAACTTCTTCCGATAGGTCTCAGTCATGGTGAATGACGGCCGCTTGAGAATAACATTAGTAACGGCCGTCAATGCATGGACAGCCTCGTCCAGAGCGATAGCCTCGGCATTGAAAGAAAAATCGGTTCTCAAACAAAAGTGTCTCCTGATATTGCCAGGGTGGTCATCACAGTGGAAGCCCATGGCAAGCAACACCCTGATTGCCTCCAGGGTGCTCCAGGCTTCTTGGCTTTCGATGGTCTTGCGATGGAGAGCGTGACGTTCCCACACCAAAAATCCATGGGCGCCTTGGGGTCTCAGGGTTGGGTTTATTGTGGAAGATTTCTTGTGGACTGGCCTCCACTGTAATATTGCCGGGCCCTTGCCATATATTATGTCCAAAGAATTAGCAGAGAACGAATATTTTTCAGCCCGAGCTATGCTGAACAGACCGAAGCCAAGCGTCTAGATACTTCAGACTAGCGCGCCTCATGATTTTCTTCTGATTTATGTGCCAAAGAGCTCTCAAGCTCATCTCCAGCTAGAGTTAAGTGAAGAAATTCACCGTCATTTCGAAGAAAAATCGGTCGAATACGAACAGTTTTGCGGACCTAGCTCGAGTAGCAGACTGAGTTCAGAGCTCTAGATGCTTCAGCCGAACGCGCCCGATGATTCTGAATCGATTGTGGTCATTATTCCCCAAGGGCTTGTCGACTTTTCGCCAATCGACTTGTGAGGATCGAGCCAGATAAATCCAGGTACATGCAGATAAGTCTAGGCAAATCCAGGTAAATCGAGATACACCCGAGTAAAGCCAGGTAAATCCAGAGAACTCCAGGGGGAAAGTTGGAGCACTTCGCGACCGCTCCGGCGCGAGCCGAAGGACGGCAGAAGTCGTCAAGCCTCTCACGAATTACGTGGGCCTCCTGCCGGGCGACGGCCTCGACGCGAAGTGCTCGTCGCTCGAGGGGCCCCATCCTCGGGGCCCGCTCCCGGGCTCCGCCGCCTCCCGCCGCAGGCCATGCCGGCGGCAGTGGTGCTGGACAGGATGCTGTCGACGTTCTCGTGCTCCTACGTGGTCTGCCGAGCGGAGCTCGGAGGAGGAAAGGGTACCCATACCTCTACCCTTCGCCCGTTTTCCCCTGTTGGGGCCTCCTCGGAGGCCCCATGTTGCCATCTCTGGATTCGCCTCGAGATCCTGGTCAGAACGCACCCCAGGAGAGGGCCGAGGAGTAGCGGTGTCGGTACCCTTTGCTTCCCCCATGGGCGGCGGGGGCGAGGAGGGGGGGGGGAGGAGGAGGAGGGGGAGGAAGATTACCAGGATTGCCACAATCCCAAGAGCGACGAAACGAGGCTGTGAGCTCTCGGGCAACTTTGGGAAGCACATCGCGATACATACGATCAAAATACTCGCGACGCGTCTTAGAAGTCGGCTCCGCACAAGGCATTCCACGGCCCCTGAGCAGGGTCTGACCGAAGTATCTCACAGAAGCGACATAACCATAAGCTAAGCGCGTCATGGAAATATAAGTCGTGATAGGGGTGAGCCCAACCTCGAGCGATATGCAAGCGTCGCCCACGGGATAACCGAAGCACCCTACCATCGACTGCCTCGAGAGGCGCACGATCACTTTTTAGCCAGACCCTCAGCTCGGCCTTCGAAGTAGATGACTTGCAAACTGCGCCCGCCCGCCCACCCTCGGGCAGGACGTCGCGAAGCGTGCAGCAGGAGGAGCGGGAGGAGTAGGCGGAGGCGGAGGCGGAGGCGGAGAAGGAGGAGGAGGAGAAGGAGGAGGAGGAGGAGGAGGAGGAGGAGGGGGAGGCGCCTCATCATCTGGCCCCAGCGGGCCCGATCTTTCTTGGCGACACCCTCGGCCTGCAGTGCAGCACGGACAGCGCAGCTCGCAGTAGGCGCCTGCTCGCCAGCACGGCCTTCTCGACCATGTGCACGCGATGCCGCTCCCCTGCGGCGTATATCGGGCCTCGGCAGCTGTCGCTGCTGCCAGCCCGCCCACTGCACTGCCCTGCACGAGCCACGCCGGGATGCCACGCTCGAGCACCTCGCGCGCGTCCAGGCGGGACGCCACCTGCAGCCACGATGATGTGGCTGCCCGTCCTGCCCTGCCGACGAAGAGACTCCCCCATGGCTCGCCCCAGGTCAGCCTAGACTCCCGTCGGCTTGAGCGGGAGCCCTTCCCGCCAGCCCCGACGTGCCCCCCTCGCTGTCCGCGACGTGGGCGACGGCGCCCGACGAGAGTCGGATGGTCCGCTCAGGCGCCGTGGCCTCGCCCCATCGGTGCCGTCCGAACTGAGCCCGTCAGGGGTCCCTGCACGTGGGCCGCCACAGCGGGAGGCGGAAGTGGAGGAGGAGGAGGAGGAGGAGGCGGAGGAGGAGGAGGAGGAGGAGGAGGAGGAGGAGGCGGAGGAGGAGGAGGAGGAGGGCGACCAGGATGGCCAGGCCCGCTCGCCGCAGGCGGGCCTCGTGCGCGTCGGCCCCCGGCCGAGGCGCCGCCGGACACTGGCAGCGGGCCGCCGGCGGACCCGTGGCCGACGCAGCCGTCACTGCGTGGGCCGGGTGAGCTTCGCGATCGGCCAGCTCGGGGCTCAAGAGGCGGGGGTCAACGCAAGCGGGGGTCAGCCAGAGCGCCCGATCTTGCAGGGTCCTGCAGGGCCAGGGTCGCATTGACCATGGGCTTGGATGCAGGATCCTGCAGGATCTTGCAGGATCCTGCGCATTGACCTGGGCTTGGGTGCAGGATCCTGCGGGGTCTTGCAGGATTCTGCAAGGCTTGACTGACCCGGTTCTGGATTGACCCGGGGCAGAAGAGCCCCGACAAGCGCTTGGGGCACAAGGCTGACCGAATCAGCAAAGGCTTTCCCCCCGTCAGTACACTCGCACAGCCACGATCGGTGCAGCGCAGACTCCGCCTTGCCGCAACGACCCCATATGGGGCCCAAACTCGAGTACTTGATCGCAGGGCTCTGGTGGCGTGCACCTAGTGGCCGACGCAGGCTGTGCCTGTAGAGGGCCCAGCTGCCGCCGGCGCGCTGGCTTGGGACGCCTTCTCCCTCCCCCCACCCAGATCGGCTACGCGTAAGATCAAATAAGAAAAAACGCTATAAACATAAACTGTCGACGCTCCGCGCGGTTTTCTTGGATCTGTGCTGGAGCGCCCTGGCGGCGCCTCCAGCGCCCCCCTGGCGCGCTCCGCGCCAGGGAGGGGGGTCCAGCGCAGATCGAAGATATCCGCGCGGAGCGCCAAAAGTTGATGTTTATGGCGTTGTTGTGTTCTTTTGCTCTCCCTCCCCCCCCCGGATCGGCTACGCGTATGAGTGACCTCTCGCCAGAGCGACCTCCAGTGCGGACCAGGGCTCGAGTCGAGCAGTGTTTTCCGTTTTCGTTTTGGTTTCGTCATCCCTAGTTCTGTCTTCGTTCCACACTTGCTGCAGAACGAGGTCAAAACGAAAACGGCCCACGACATTGCCAACACACAGTTTAGCTCGAGCCCCGGTGCGGACCCACGTGGGCTCCGTCCTGCATCGGCCTGCGCGCCTGGATCCAGCTTCCCCGCGGCACCCTGACGCCGCGCCAAAAGGGCCACTCTCGCCCATGGTTAAGTCGGGCGTGTCCCTCCACAGGAGGAATATTCAAAAATAGTCTGGGGATTTGTTTTCGACTATTTTTGGCTATTCGGGGGCATGTTTTGATTATTTTTAAATTTTCGTGCAAAGTCGGCCTGTGGGGGGACAGGCCCGACTTAAGCCCAGGGTCGCCCTCGCGCTTCGCCGACTGGCGAAGAGGACAGCACACAGCAGGAGGGGGCACAGAAAGCGCACAGGCACACCGAGCCGTCGATCCCCCCGGGTGAGCACGGGAAAGTGTGGGAAGTGGGGGGGAGGAGGCAAGCCCAGGAAAGATGGGAGAAGACATGTGGGACATGCTGGGATATGTGTCCTCCTCCTCCTCCTCCTCCTCCTCCTCCCCCTCCTCCTCCTCCTCCTCCTCCTCCTCCTCCTCCTCCTCCTCCTCCTCCTCCTCCTCCTCCTCCTCCTCCTCCTTCTCCCCCCCCCCCTCGCGCAGCGGCGGGGCGGGGTCGGGCGGCGCAGCGCCCGTGGGGGGGAATTAGGCAGAACAGGGGGCCGACCCGCCGGCTGCCACGGCGAGGGCCGCGGGGGATCCTCGAGGAAGGAGTCAACGCCAGAGCACACGAGCTTTTGGCGCTCCGCGCGGTCGCGCTCGGCGGGGCGCGAGGGTCGCAGCTGGGGGATCCTCGGAGAAGGAACAAACGCCACAAAAGCACAAACCTGTGGCGCTCCGCGCGGACATCTTGGATCCGCGGTGGGTCCCCCCGTGGCGGCGCCTCCGGCGCGGGGTCCAGCGCAGATCCAAGAAATCCGCGCGGAGCGCCAAAAGTTTATATGCATGGCGTTTTTGCTCCTCTTCTAGACCTGCGGTTCGGCCTGGCTGCATGGGGCGCTGCCCGTTGGATGGGAGAGATGGTCTTCGAAGCCCTACGATGCCACAGAGCCCGCGCGCGCTGCACGGTCTAGAGGCCAGTGGCTACGGGGGGCTGAAGAAAGCGAGCCTGCACCGGCTTTCGCTAAGAGGCAGGCGAGGCGAGCCAGAAGCTATCTCGCATGGCGTCCGCGTTGTGAGTTAGAAAGAACAGTGCGCACACCATAGCCGTTCAGTCTTTACCTGGCCGGTTCCTGCGGCAGGGGGTGTGGCCTGCTGGCCATATCCACGCACGCCTATATGAAAATCGCCAGCCGGTCATACTGCCAGTGTGCCTGACCGCACGCTCTTTCAATGCGCATGTATCAAATTTCGCAGTTGCTTGGCTCGAGCAAGTTTTGCCCACGCATCGTGATCCACGATCGGATGCACCGCTGGCTCACAGTACTGTGTGTGTGTGTCTTGTTTGGAACGCTTGTCTGCCGGTATTGGCGGGCTTTTGGTTTTGAGTTCTGGTAACGGGCATTCGCCAAACTACACGGCCTTCAGCATTACTCTTTCCGCAGGTATGATGTGGAGCGTGACGATCCTTCACATATTGGTTCCATGCATGGATTGGGCTGGCATCGGGGAGCAATGGACCAAAGCCATCGTTTCTGCACGTTGAGCTTGGAACTGTAATGCGTCGCATGTTCTGGAAGAGCGTCTCGCTGCTCCGGGCAGTTGCACACACATCGATCCAGTAGTTTGCAAAAAAAAAAAAAAAGTCATATCATTTAGCCTGTAGCCTTGGAAGCTCACCGAGCGCCGAACCAGCAACTTGGAGAAAAAAAGCCGGAGACTGAACTTGATACGGCAGCCGAGCAGAGACCGAAGCGCAGAATGCCGGCCCCTGCCAGCAGGAGTTCGCACGTCGTCGAGCCCTCTTTAGCTCGCTAGATCAGATGCCGAGGACTAAATAATAATCGGATATCAGCCCTGTGCGTGCATTGACATACGGATAGATTTGAGGCGGCGCACAAGTAAACAGTTCGCGAGCATGTCCAAATCAGACATTCAACAAATATATCAGATAACAGCAATTTGTCTTGGCTCTGGTCCTGACTCTGCACAGCCTTCCAGAGGGACAGGCAGTTGCCATGTCGTCATCTGAGCACCCCAGCGCAGGTGTTGTTGTGGCTTCTATTGCCTTGCACCTCCCAGGGGCAATCTGCGTCGCAGCGCCCGCTTTCTAATGTCCAAGCGTCCGCGGATACGCTACGTACGATGCCCATCAAACATCCGCGCCGATACGTTTCACTTTTGTTTTCCCCTCGGGAGCCACGTAGCAGATCGGGGCCTGGGCCAGGTCCTTGCTGGCTCGCATGCGGCAAGACCGAGCCCGAGAGTCCCAGGTTGGCAGAAGGAGCAAGCCTTGACGCATGCCATGCGTATGCTCCCCGACGTAAGGCGATGCAGCTCATCATCGTCAGCAGCAGCATCATCATCACCGCCATCACCATCATCATCATCATCATCATCAGCAGCAGCAGCAGCATCTGCATCAGAATCGCCATCCTCATCACCACCACCATCATCATCACCTGCAGCATAATCATTATCCGTATCATCGTCAGCAGCATCATCATCCTCATCAGCAGCATCGGCATCATCATTCTCATCATCAGCATCATCAGCATCATCATATCATCATCAGCATCATCATCAGCAGCACCATCAGCAGCATCATCATCAGCAGCATCAGCATCATAATCATCTGTATACGTATCGCTTTTATATTCTGGCTCTGCGCACCCTTCCCGTATTACCCCTGCTCCTCTTACTTTCAGCTCGAACCACGATGGGCCGTGCCGTGGGAGCACAGTCTGTCGTTCGGTGGGGAGCAGTTGCCACAGATGGCATCGACTTTCCTCTAGGAGAAGAAGGGCGCGGCGCAAGAGGAGGAGAAGAAGCAGTGGAGGGTGAGGAAAGGGGGGAGGCGGAGGAGTGGGAGTAGAAAGAGGAGTAGGAGGAGGGGAGAAGACGAAGAGAAAAGATAGGCACGGGAGGAATGGGATGGGGAGTGGGACTTTCAGAGCTCTCCGTATCGCAAGGAGTTGTCTCATAGATTTGCGTTTCTGTCGTGCACTCTTCATCAATGAGAAGAGTTCTCCGCCCAGGTCGCTCTTCTGGTCGGGAGCACCGTGGTGCATTGCTTCCTCAACGGGGGCAGTGCGCTTGGAAGTTGTGCTCCGCCAGGGCTGAACTTCGGAGTATCCGCAATGCTCCTGAAGGCGCTAGGAGGGTCGAAAGAGGGAGGGGAAGGAGGAGGAGGAGGATCCAAATCAAGTTGCAAGGGATTCCAGTACAGGGCTCCTTCCTACTCCTCCGACTCGGTTCGATTAGATTTCGGTCGATTCGATTCCGATGTGGATTTTTGTTTCGAAATGGAGGTCTTACTATACTGCCGATGTCCGCCGATTTGACTTCTCCCGATTTTGCCGTCGATTTCTGCCGATCCGATTTATTTCGATCGCCGATCCGATTTATCGATTCGATTATGGGGCTCTCTTACCAGTAACACGTGCGGATGGAACGCCCAGTGTCTCAAGCGCATGTCCAATGCTGGTTGCAAGCACTCCGGCTACATCTAGCACGTCAGAGGTGGATTGCACATCGGCAGCGATCATGGTGCGCACGCGAGTTGCTCATGGCGCGTGGACTTCTTAATTCCGAACATGCGCTTGCCCGTCGGTCGCTGAGAATAGCGCTGGGATCAAAATCCCTATCTACTGTCGGCGCCTTACCAGTTCAAGAGTCAAGCGGCTTTCCCTCGCCTGGTCTGTTTTCCAGGGGGCGGGCGGAAATCCGATCTAGTGTCAATGCCTTCCTGCTTCTTGCTTCTGCCCACTTCTTCCAACTGATGGGCGGAGGTTTCAATTCTTTCGGTGTCCGTGGCCTATCTGGGCTCCCGGAGCAGAGGGGAGAAGGAGGAGGAGGAGGAGGAGGAGGAGGAGGAGGAGAAGGAGGAGGGGGAGGAGGAGGAGGAGGAGGGGGAGGAGGAGGAGGAGGAGGAGGGGGAGGAGGAGGGAGGTGGAGGAGGAGGAGGAGGAGGAGGAGGAGGGGGAGGAGGAGGAGGGGGAGGGGCCACGCTCGGCCTCTCCGGGCAGTCCTCCGAGACTACTTGGACCTGCGCGTTCTCTGGCCATGCCTGGCCGTCTTGGAGGCCTCAGGGGCTGCCGTGGGGGGGGCCTCTTGGGACCGAGAGACTCAAGGGCGCCCTCGAGGGCGCGAAGTTCTTCGCGCTTCGCGCTTCGCGGTTCGGCTCCGATTCCTCCTCATCCTCCTCGTCTCCCTTGGGAGGCGGCGCGAGAGCGCGAAGTTATTCGCACTTCGCGCTTCGCGCAGCGCGAAGCGCGAAGTTGGGAGCCCTTGGAGAGAAGAGGTTCACCAGCCTCGAACCTATCCCTATCCCTAAGATTGACAGGCTCAAAAGAGATGACAATCTTAGGGATACACCCTCAGAAACTGAGGAAATCCCTAAGATCGCCATCGTGATGAGGCGATGCCCAACAGAGGGATAGGGATATGTTCCAGGCTGGTAAGAGGTTGGGGGAAGGGATAGAGGGAGGGGCGAGGGAGAAGGAGGGGGACGAAAGAGATGAGGAATGGCACAGCGCAGCTGAGCATGCCATACTACAACTTGGCGCAGGATGATGTCGTCGATCAGGGCCGCCAATCCAACATCGATTAGATCATATGATCCGTGGCTTCAATCGGTGGGGTGATTGGTCCAGCGCCTAGAACAGGAGGTACGACTGAGCATTGAAGAGGAATACGTGTGGGACATCACGAGCAGGGATTGTCAAGGGACAAGTTGTGTCGCGGAGTTGGCTTGGCCTACGTTTGGCGTGGCAGATGCGTGGTCAGCAGTGGTTTCAGCCCATGCGTTGCTTGCTGCAGACTGGGCCACGCTTCGCGCAAAGCTCTGGAGGTATGTTTCGAGGCAGATCGGGCGAGGGTCTAGAGACTCGCACCCCGGGAGACCCACTAGGGGTCGGCAGATAAAGTTCTGAACAGAAC